CTCTACCAGGATCAGGTCCTTGTCCTCCGTAAAATGTGCTGCACACATCTGAATATTTGGGTTGAACTGTTCTGGAACAGTGTTGTAAATACAACTTAACCACTGATTTCTAGATGTGTCCTCTTTTGGAAGACCAAACAAAGTAGTTTCGCTTTCACAACGAAACACACATTGTCTCCACGACATGGCGACGGCGGTAACAATACTACAGCGAGAATCAAAGTTACGCCTTCTTTCTTTGCGTGAACATTTGGGCGGCGTTATGCAAATCTTCCCACATCGTGACGTAGACATGTGGGGGCGTGTTAGAATGAGCCGTTTTAGGAGGGATAAAGAATTTTATAAAGAATATCTCTTTGGGTTTGAGACTTCAGTCTTTGCAACTTTAGGGATCTTATCTATTCACGAACAGCTTGTAACACTCCAAAGAGAAAGGAAAACTTGAAATCGCATCATATGACCCCTTTAACATTCAGGGAACCTTTTCATTCAACAAAAGGTTCTGTAAGTGGAAAAAGATTATTAAAATGTTCTTCACACAAGGAAAAAATGGTTCTTTTATGAAGTGTTCACAGAAATGTTCTTTGGGAAACCGAAACACAACTGACGCTAGGTCACCTGACAACATGGCAGATGTAGTATGTACAAATTTCATTATACATATTATATAGACCACTTTTTTTTCCCGTCGCAAAGTTGGTTCTAAAACAAACATGGCACCTATATAAGTGTGTGATTTCAGAAGCACTGATATAGTGGCAGATGTGTGGCTCGTCTACTACAACAGCTTGTAACACTCCAAAGAGAAAGGAAAACTTGAAATCGCATCATTCAGGGAACCTTTTCATTCAACAAAAGGTTCTGTAAGTGGAAAAAGATTATTAAAATGTTCTTCACACAAGGAAAAAATGGTTCTTTTAAGAACTGTTCACAGAAATGTTCTTTGGGAAACCGAAACACAACTGACGCTAGGTCACATGACAACATGGCAGATGTAGTATGTACAAATTTCATTATACATATTATATAGACCACTTTTTTTTCCCGTCGCAAAGTTGGTTCTAAAACAAACATGGCACCTATATAAGTGTGTGATTTCAGAAGCACTGACATAGTGGCAGATGTGTGGCTCGTCTACTACGCTGCTTTTTAATTGCTTTTCTAAACATGTTAGACAGATGTTTTTGACTGTTGCACCAGGTCTCACAACTTTTCCAATGACTCGAGCATGAGCACTTTGCTTTTAAGTCAGAAATTTCAACTTTTAACAACTGCATCCGCTTCGAGATCCTGATCTTTTATATGATATATAATATAAAATACCCTACACTATAGTACATCAAAATTAAAAATAGTAAGTGAAATTGTGGACATGCAATGATTTCAATCAATAGAATGCTACATTGTGATCTAAGGTTCTTCAGATTATAAAAAGGTAAGAAAGAGATGGTTCTTTAAAGAACCTTTGACTGAATGGTTCTTTGTGGAACCAAAAATGGTTCTTCTATGGCATCGCTTGAAGAACCTTTTGAAGCACCTTTATTTTTAAGAGTGTATGCTGCTTTTTAATTGCTTTTCTAAACATGTTAGACAGATGTTTTTGACTGTTGCACCAGGTCTCACAACTTTTCCAATGAATCGAGCATGAGCACTTTGCTTTTAAGTCAGAAATTTCAACTTTTAACAACTGCATCCGCTTCGAGATCCTGATCTTTTATATGATATATAATATAAAATACCCTACACTATAGTACATCAAAATTAAAAATAGTAAGTGAAATTGTGGACATTATGCAATGATTTCAATCAATAGAATGCTACATTGTGATCGCATGACCTCATTATGTAATTAATTTAGCATATGTTGTCCAGTTATCAAATAAACACACTTAACACATTTTTGTTCTACTATGCTGCTTTTTTAATTGTTTTTCTATGTAAAGACGTTAGACAAATTTCTGATAATTGCACAGCGTCTCAACTTTTTCTGTGAATCACACACAAGCAATTTCTACAAAACATTTTGGTAACACTTTAGTATAGAGACCAATTCTCACTATTAACTAGTTGCTTATTAGCATGCCTATTACTAACATTGGCTGTTTATTAGTGCTTATAAAACACACGTTCTGCAAGACCATACTCTACATCCCTAATCCTACTCAATACCTAAACTTAACAACTACCTTACTAACTAATTAATAAGCAGCAAATTAGGAGTTTTCAGAGGCAAAAGTCGTAGTTAATAGTTAAATAATAGCAATAATTGGACCTAAAAACAAAGTGTGACATTTCCAAAACCCATTTGAGGATTGTACGTTATTTTATGCTGCACAATGCACCTCTTTTTTTTTAGGCCAGGGCAATGCACCGCAACTATTTTTTATGTTTTTTTGTTTTTTTTGCACACTCTGAATGAAAATTTATGTTTTTTACTTGTTTTCCCCTCCTCAGTCAATTTACATGTCTTAATCTTGGCTATTAATGGTGAAAACAAATGACTTATTTTTTTGCAGTACGAGTCTGTGATCACTCCTGGTAATGAAGCCATTGTTCATCACATCGAAGTGTTCGAATGCTCTCCTCAGATGGACACCGTGCCTCAATTCAGCGGCTCCTGCGATTCAAAGATGAAGCCCCGCAAACTCAATTACTGCCGACACGTTCTGGCTGCCTGGGCCATGGGAGCAGAGGTACGTGAACTACTGCATACTGCATTTACAGTACATAGTACAGAATTAAAGTGACAGCTCATTCAAAAATGAAAATTCTGTTATATAGCTTGCTATGTCATTCAAAACCTGTATGGCTGGCTTACTTCTGAAGAACACAAAAATTGATATTTTGAAGAATGTTCATGCTGCTCTTTTCCTATAAAAGTATAGAATAACCAGGGTGTCTCAATCTCCAAAATAGACACAAAAGTTCTGTAAAATGACCATAAAAGTGGTCACATTTGCTATATATCAAGTCTCCTGAAGCCATTTAATTGCTTTATGTGAGGAAATGAGCGAAATGAAGGTCTTCCCCTTTAGTTTAATAGCACTTTTATGGCTGTCCTTTCTGAGTGTATGCTTTCGATGTTTCGCAATGTTTCATCATGAATCACATTGATAGAGGTCACTTTCTACATCAGATTCTCTCTCTTTAGTACGGAGCCCCACACATGACATGCAAGAAAAAATAAATAAATCGTGCGCATGATTTACTAATTCGTTCGCTCGATGTACTAAAACATGCACACGATTACTATTTCGTTCCCTTGATTTGTTAAATCGTGTGCACAATTTACTAATTTGTTCTCTCGATTTATAAATCGTGTGCACGATTTAGCAAATCGAGGGAACGAATTAGTAAATTGTGCGCACAATTTATAAATCGAGGGAACGAAATAGCAAATCGTGCACACGATTTAGCCTACTATTTTTTTCCTGCATGCCATGTGCGTGGCTCCGTACTTTAGCACTAAGTTTGTGAGCTAAAAACAGAACATATGATTACTGTTTATTAGTGCTTATAAAACACACGTTCTGCAAGACCATACTCTACATCCCTAATCCTACTCAATACCTAAACTTAACAACTACCTTACTAACTAATTAATAAGCAGCAAATTAGGAGTTTTCAGAGGCAAAAGTCGTAGTTAATAGTTAAATAATAGCAATAATTGGACCTAAAAACAAAGTGTGACATTTCCAAAACCCATTTGAGGATTGTACGTTATTTTATGCTGCACAATGCACCTCTTTTTTTTTAGGCCAGGGCAATGCACCGCAACTATTTTTTATGTTTTTTTGTTTTTTTTGCACACTCTGAATGAAAATTTAGTTTTTTACTTGTTTTCCCCTCCTCAGTCAATTTACATGTCTTAATCTTGGCTATTAATGGTGAAAACAAATGACTTATTTTTTTGCAGTACGAGTCTGTGATCACTCCTGGTAATGAAGCCATTGTTCATCACATCGAAGTGTTCGAATGCTCTCCTCAGATGGACACCGTGCCTCAATTCAGCGGCTCCTGCGATTCAAAGATGAAGCCCCGCAAACTCAATTACTGCCGACACGTTCTGGCTGCCTGGGCCATGGGAGCAGAGGTACGTGAACTACTGCATACTGCATTTACAGTACATAGTACAGAATTAAAGTGACAGCTCATTCAAAAATGAAAATTCTGTTATATAGCTTGCTATGTCATTCAAAACCTGTATGGCTGGCTTACTTCTGAAGAACACAAAAATTGATATTTTGAAGAATGTTCATGCTGCTCTTTTCCTATAAAAGTATAGAATAACCAGGGTGTCTCAAGCTCCAAAATAGACACAAAAGTTCTGTAAAATGACCATAAAAGTGGTCACATTTGCTATATATCAAGTCTCCTGAAGCCATTTAATTGCTTTAGTACGGAGCCCCACACATGACATGCAAGAAAAAATAAATAAATCGTGCGCATGATTTACTAATTCGTTCGCTCGATGTACTAAAACATGCACACGATTACTATTTCGTTCCCTTGATTTGTTAAATCGTGTGCACAATTTACTAATTTGTTCTCTCGATTTATAAATCGTGTGCACGATTTAGCAAATCGAGGGAACGAATTAGTAAATTGTGCGCACAATTTATAAATCGAGGGAACGAAATAGCAAATCGTGCACACGATTTAGCCTACTATTTTTTTCCTGCATGCCATGTGCGTGGCTCCGTACTTTAGCACTAAGTTTGTGAGCTAAAAACAGAACATATGATTATGAGCATCTTTAGGAGTCCATTTTAGGAGGCAAACATACAGATAGGCTTTATCTGTGCCAATTTGCCCACTCTAGGTAGGTGCCAGTCATGGTTTGAGCAGAGCTGTGAGCCAATCTGAAAGCAGAGGCGTCCTGATAAATCAGTTATGGAGCCAAGGTCCGATGCCGAGCTTGGAGAGAGAGATAGAGAGAGAGAGACGGGCCTCCAATGAGATCACATGGGAGTAAAACAAACACAAATCATGTGTTCTGCTAGCTGCCAATGTCAAGCTGGAGAGATGAGATTATGTAGCAAAAATTAGATGTTTTTCTTCAGTAGATTGCAGTTGGTCTTTTTTTTTCTTCTTCACCATTTGGTTTTTAAATGTTTGTGAGAGAAGGAGGGGGAGTGGGTGAGAGCCAGGAGAGTGTGATAGAGAGAGAAACGGGAACGGGGCGAGAAACTGGAGGTGGAAGTAGGACGGTTACGTAAAGAGGCACGCAAGTTTTAAAAGTAGACTGATAAGGGTGAGGGTTTAGGTTTCCACTTTGCTCTTCTTCATAAGTCTAAACCGCTGGTCGTGAACTGTCATGGATCTACGAGATTTTTCTGGCTCTGACTGAGTCGGAGTTGGCATAAGCTTCTTGTGCATTGGCTCCAATATCTTTTAGCCTGCAAAGCATAAATCAGAAGCTACACTGCAGCCCAATCAATCTTATTAAAGTTCATATAAAGTTCTGTATGTGTGTCTGTACACGCAGCCGTTCTACTATCCTGCTGATGCTGGTTTGCCTCTGGGAGGAGAAGGTTCTTCTAGGTTCCTTCGGCTTGAAGTTCATTACCACAACCCTCTCCTTATATCAGGTATGCAACACATAAAGTGTGCCAAAGATGCACTTCAGCCCAGTTGGCTAAGACTACGTTCAGAATGCTGCATGCTGCGTACCAATTATTCAAATCTAGCATGTGAAGTAGTAGACATTATGCTAGAATGCTACATTGTTATCTCATGACCTCATTATGCATTTACTTCAGTTATCAAATAAAATTACTTATCTTGCATTTTTACTACTTTTGAGTAAAATGTCTAAATTTTTGTCAGCCTAAATAAATTAAGAATAAGACTTCCAGTGAAGCTCAGTGCATTGTGGGATACAGTATTTGGCACATTTGGATTTTTTTGGAGAGTGCAAATATCATAGGATCCAGGTTTTCTAAACTATGATTATTATTTTTTTCAACTTTGGCACTTTTACTCTTGTCTCCCAGGAGTTGATTTTTATTAAAATTAAAATGATTTATTTTTTATATGATGGTCAGATTAAAACTGGCATTTTCATGCCTTCATTATTTACTTTTGCTACTTTTTAAATGTGTCAACATATATTATTTTACACTTGTCCCAGAGCCTTTAAATCTTAAAACATTAAATTCATAAAAATATGAATCAGTACATAAAAACATCAAATAGTTTACATAGTTTAAAACTATGATCATATAAATAGAGGTAAAATAAACATTTTCCAAACAGCTTCACTTTTTGTCTATTGTAGTTTCGTAATATTTTTCTTCAAATGTTATTAGTTTTTCAAGAAGAAAAAAAAAGTAAATCACCTATAATTTTTATCAAATTATATAAGTTAGAGAATGTAATTGTGTGTTTTTAAATGCTAATTGTAAAATTAGTCTAAACAATACAGAAGGCCATTTTATTCCAAAAATGTAAGCATAAATCTGCGTATAATTTTTTTTTTTAATAAACAAAATCACGATTCATCAATTTTGGAACAGAAATATGTTTTAAAAAATAAAATAAAGTAAAGACAAACTCTGGGCAGCATTAAATGTACTTGTATGGACAAAGTTTGGACGGATTTTATGCAAATGACTAACCTCAGGCACACGGTCACTAATTTATTACACTCTGAATTCGTTACTATTAGAATGAGGTTAAGAACAAATTTATGTGTGCATACACATCTTTATGTGAAAATTTCTCCTGTTCACATAAATATGAATAATCCCTGCAATTATTAGTGAATAAGCCAATTATTTTTAGTTTTTTTAAGTGCCTATAGTTGATGAAACACCCAATGTGCTCAAATTGTATACTGTGTGCAGCAATGCCCTAATGTTTTTGCCAATCTCTGTTCTGAACTTCTCATCAGACCACTTCCTTTAATTTCTGAGTGCACATCTCCACTTGACTCATACTGTGTGTTTGTCACAGGACGGAGTGACTCCTCGGGCATTCGTTTGTGGTACACTCCATCTCTGAGGAGGTTTGACGCAGGCATCATGGAGCTGGGGCTAGTCTACACTCCTGTCATGGCCATTCCTCCCCGCCAGCTCTCTTTCCAGCTGACTGGCTACTGCACCGCCAAATGCACACAGACGGTCCGCGCGCCTCACAAACACTCCTAAACACTGCACTTCACTCAAGCCAGCCGAATAAATTCAAGATGCAGCCAAAGCTGCTACATTCTGACTCAAAGATAAATCAAGCACATACAGTTCTAACTGCATTCAGCCTTTGAATTCAATTAAAACACATTGAGTGGCTTCCTGAAAACAGATTAAGGCCAAAATTTCACCAAATAATGCAATCGCAAGAGACTCCCCATTAAAAAAGAAAAACTCTTATTTAGGGTGTAATAAAACCCTTATAATCCAGCCCACAGTGGAAAAAGCTCATCATCTAGAGAAATAATGTTAAAAAATATTGTTATATAAGTAACTGAATGATAGTTCAAATCATGTGGCTTGTTGAGGCAAATAATGCAAAAAAGCAATCACCCATAACACCCTGGCATTAAAATTACTCACATTTTCTTCATAAAATATAAAAATATAGTTCACGTATTAATTATTGAAGCTGTGTTTTCTGTCCTGCAGGCTCTTCCTGTAGGCGGTGTACACATCTTTGCGTCCCAGCTGCACACTCATCTGGCTGGACTCGAGGTGAGGACCGTCCTGGTACGAGGAGGCAAAGAGGTGGAAGTGGTACAGGAGGACAAACATTTCAGCACTCATTACCAGGTATAGCCAACTTTGGTCACACTTTAAGGTCCAATTCTCACTATTAACAAACCATTAACTGACTTTTGCCTCAATAAACTGCTAATTTGCTGCTTATTAATAGTTAGTAAGGTAGTTGTTAGGTTTAGGTATTGGGTAGGATTAGGGATGTAGAATAAGGTCATGCAGAATATGTGCTTTATAAGTACTAATAAACAGTTCATATGTTAATAATAGGCATAACAAGTAAATAGTGAGAATTGGTCCCTATACTAAAGTGTTACCCCAAGTTTAAGTTTGGACTATTAAAGGGATAGTTCACCCAAAAGTGAAAATTCTGTCATTAATTACACACCCTCGTGTTGTTTCAAACCCGTAAGATATTCGTTCATCTTCGGAACGCAATTTAAGATATTTTTGATGAAATCCGAGAGCTTTCTTACCCGACATAGACAGCAATGCAACTGAAATATTCCCAGGTCCAGAAACGTAGTACGGAGATCATTAAAATTGTCCATGTGACAGTTGTTCAAGCTTAATTTAAGAAGCTATGAGAATACTTTCTGTGCGCAAAGAAAACAAAAATAACGACTTTATTCAACAATTCTTCTCCTCCAAATCACATATTCCCCGATTAGAATATGTGCTTATGTTCCTGAGGTGTTTTTTTCCTGTTCCCACACTGTGCTCCCCATAGTTTTTTTTAATCTCCTCCCCTTCCTCATGTTATGCTGTATTTCTTCTAAAAAATTCCCTGTCCTCCTGTCCTGTATGGACAGGTGGATGGCTAATTTCGCTGGTACCTGTGATCAGTGACAATAAAGGGCTCATTCATTCATTCATTCATTATCACGATGCATGCTCTGCATGTAAACAAGGCTCAGCGCATGCGTGTTCTACGTCAGCAGCATCTAGCGCATGCATTGTTTACGTGCAGAGGTACTCTCCATAATGGCAGAATACGTGATTTGGAGAAGCATTTGTTGAATAAAGTCTTTTTATTTTTTGCGCACAAAAAGTATTCTCGCAGCTTCATAAATTTATGGTTGAACCACTGATGTCACATGGACTTTCGCTGGTACCTCCTTACTACCTTTCTGGGTCTAGGAACATTTCAGTTGCATTGCTGTCTATGGGAGGGTCAGAAAGCTCTCGGATTTCATCAAAAATATCTTAATTTGTGTTCCGAAGGTGAACGGAGGTCTTACAGGTTTGGAACAACATGAGGGTGAGTAATTAATGACAGAAATTTCATTTTTGGGTGAACTAACCCTTTAAAGTTCGGGTTCTCAACATAAAAATGTGCCTTTTCACTTCAAATTTCAATGCATGTTCCTGGTCTTATTGTGCATGATTCATAATAACCCTACCTCTGAAACAACTTTTCTTTTCTACTGACATCATCAAGGCCTCAAATTTTTCAGCCAATCACACAGAGACCACACCCACCAATGACATCATTCTGGAATGTAACACCCACTTTCACAATCCAATCAATTCCCAATCTATTAAATCAATAGTTTCTTGCTACATTTAGTTTGGAAGTCCATTTCCACCGCTGAATTACAAAAGCAATTCTGACCTTTTTCTCAGAATTGTGAGATATAAACTCGCAATTGTGACTTTTTTTCTCAGAATTGCGAGTTAATATCTCGCAATTCTGACATTATAACACGAGCTAAGTCAGAATTGTGAGATATAAACGTGCAATTCTGAGAAAATATCAGTCTTTATAACTCGCAATTGCAAGTTTATATCTCACAATTCAGAGAGAAATGTCAGAATTGCAAGATGTAAATTCGCAATTGCGAGAAAAAAAGTCTAAATTGTGAGATAAAAAGTCAATTATCTTTTTACAATTTTTTTTTCAGTGGCAGAAACGGACTTCCATAATTTCATGAACAAGTCACATGGCGGAAGTCAAATGGTTGTTTCATGTTGACTTTAAAACATACATATAGGCTACCAGTCAATTTCAATCATTTTAAAATGTTTAAATAAGTCTCTTATGCTTACCGATGATGTACTTATTAGATAAATAAGTAAAAACAGTCATTTTGTGAAATATTATTACAGTTTAAAATAACTGTTTTCTATCCTAATATATTGTAAAATGTAATTTATTCCTGTGATGCAAAGCTGAATTTTCAGCATCATTAATCCAGTCTTCAGTGTCACATGATCCTTCAGAAATCATTCAAATATGCTGATTTGTGACTATTTAAGATGCTGTAACTGTTCACCATTCATTTTCACCCTTTTTATTTTCAGCTCTTTTGCGGCTGGCTTAAATACTTTTAAAGTTAAGGTGTCCCTTTCAGTCTCTCAGTCGATATGAATGCAGTCTATAACAGTTTCAGATGAAGTACAGCATGTCACACTGCGACACACTGCTCACAGCTTGAGACATGTCAACTACCCACGATTCCCTGCGGTATACCTGAGCACATGATGCTTTTGTCTCTCCCACACCATTTTTCATGCTCACACACAACTAAAACTCAACTAAACCACCACAAACAGCAAACATGACCTTCCTGTACGAGCGTCTAACTCATCCCAGACAGTCATTACCTCACAATGAGAAGAAAACCTTGAAATGGCAACACCACCGTCACTGTATCATACCACTCTGACCCAATCAGCCTCCAACAACAAAAACCAGCAACTAATATCTGGCTTTCAGACTAACTGCCTGAGGACAAGAGGAATGCTTTCATTTCCTCTACGAAATCAGACGGAGAAACAGAAATAGGTTTTCCTCAGCAATGAATAAAACACGGAAAGGCAGATGACATTTGTATTCATCCATTTTGTATCGTCAAATTGCATTTTCACAGCTTAAAATTTTTTTTTTTTGCAGTGCTATAGTGGAATCAGATGAATTATGAAAGTGGTTTTGTGGCCGTGGAACCAAATTACCACCTTATGAGGTGGATATTTAAAAAATATATTTATTGTCCTCTCTGTAGGTTTCAAGGACGTGAGAGTTGCAGTTGTCCTGGGACTACGGTGGAAGAGCAGTTCTCCTCGCTGTCCTGGGACGGCTTCAGCGGGGAGGTGCTGAACTCCCTCTACCTCACCTCCCCAATCTCAATGCACTGCAACCAATCCACCGCTGAGCTTTTTCCTGTAAGCTCAACATTAAACCACCTTTTCACCATCTCTGACCAATGACAGACCAGAAGTCTTTTATTTCCAGAGTAGTTCAGATGCATTGAATTATTGAATTTTTTGCAGCTAGACTCTAATCGCCTAAACAGATGTGATATATTCTAATAAACTTTGAGTGCATGGTGAGAATGACCAATATTTTTGCACTAAAACGTTATTCTTGGATGCAAAATTCACGTTTACGTATTTTTTTTTTTACGGTAACGCACAGTGTTGCCAGATTGGAAAGGACCACAACAGATAAATAACTTAGTGGGAAGGTCCAAACACTGTCGCTGTCATCGGAAGCCTGAGGTGTGTGCGGTCAATGAGTAATGATTACAACGCCCATCATTTGAAGTGTCACAAAATTCTGAAATCATCATACTTTCTTTTTTTTTATTATTGATCATACATACACTCTTAAAAATAAAGGTGCTTCAAAAGGTTCTTCAAGCGATGCCATAGAAGAACCATTTTTGGTTCCACAAAGAACCATTCAGTCAAAGGTTCTTTAAAGAACCATCTCTTTCTTGTGTTTTTGTAATCTGAAGAACCTACTTTCGCCACAAAGAACCTTTTGTGAAACAGAAAGGTTATTCAGATGTTAAAGGTTCTTCACGGAACCATTTAGACAAAAAGGTTCTTCTATGGCATCGTGAAGCACCTATATTTTTAAGAGTATAGGTCAAAATTATCGTACAAATACGATAATTATCATACGGTCTGGCAACACTGGTAATGCACCACAGAGTACACAAAAAATGGAAGAGAGGGGCGGGGGGAGCAGTAGCTCATTAGCATTTAAAGAGACATGCAATGGCTCGCTGTGAAAAGAGCTGTTTTTGACAAGATATAAAAGCTGTTGTTTTACATAACCATTGAGGAATTTTAACCAAAGTATGTTGCAGACATTTCATGAAGACCTTAAAAAATCATATCAAGTTAATGCCGATAGGCTAGTGGTTAGTGCGTCGACACAACTGCTCACGGTGACCCGAGTTCGATTCCCTTCTCTAGGTCATTTGCCGATCCCGCCCCCCTTTCTCCACCCAATACTTTCCTGTCTGCTAAAACTGTCCTATCTAATAAAAAAGGCATAAAAGCCCCAATATATAAAATCATCATATCAATTTGTGGAAAATGGGCATCCGATGTCCCCTTTGAAACACTATTTCTGTTAAAAGGGTGGTAATGAATAATTATGTTTTAAATCTTACAATTGATATGTGATGAAAAAGAAATTTCTCTTACATACTGTATAGTTGGTAATTTTTTTGTGTGGAATGGATCTATTAATTAACTACATGGGCAACAATGAGACGACCCCCAAAACAGGAATGGTTTTACAGGTGGAGGCCACTGACATTTTTTCCCCCAACTCATCTTTTCTGACAGTTTTTCACTAGTTTTGCATTTGGCTAGGGTCAGTGTCACTACTGGTAGCATGAGGCGATACCTGGACCCTACAGAGGTTGCACAGGCAGTCCAACTCCTCCAGGATGGCACATCAATATGTGCCATTTACATCATTTACATCATATTTTTATCATCTTGAACTGATCAGTGGAGGATGGTTAATATTTGCTAATAATTTGCTTAAAGACATTTTTTTAGATGTCATCAAGGCAAAAACAGTCATACCACCGCTGAGTGGCCGGGTCACCGGCTCGGCTCCTCAGCGAAAACCTGAATATGCGCTGCATCTGCTGCCTACTTATACTCACGCTGTGATCAGCAGCAGCTGGATGCAATAATCGCATGCCAATGTGCATTGGCTCGTTTTGTTTACACTCGAAGTAGATTGGTCCCTCTAAGCGAGATCCCAATTTCGTCGGTCATCCGACGTGACGTCTCCGTTCCCTCCTTCAGGG